CCCGACCTCACGCCCCTACGTGACCTCACGCCCCTACCCGACCGCCCTCCCCTTCCCAACCTCCCGCCCCTATCCGACCTCCCGCCCCTTCCCGACCTCCCGCCCCCACCCGACCTCCCGCCCCTTCCTGACCTCCCGCCCCTTCCCGACCTCCCGCCCCTTCCCGACCTCCCGTCCCTTCCTGACCTCCCGCTCCTTCCCGACCTCCCGCCCCTTCCCGACCTCCCACCCCTTCCCGACCTCCCGCCCTTTCCCGAACTCCCGCCCCATCCCGACCTCACGCCCCTTCCCAACTGCCCTCCCCTTCCCGACCTCCCTCCCCTTCCCGACCTCCCTCCCCTTCCCGACCTCCCGCCCCTTCTTTCTTGTAACCGAAAAAGTCACCGACTAGCTGCGAGGAGCTACTGCAATGCTGTGTCGTGAAGCATTACTGTTCCACCATGGCGACAATTCGAAGATCAGAACAAAATAATGGTTTTCATGCTAAGTCTACGTTACACCGCGACCCTAAAGGGGTTAATGAACAGAGGAGGGACGAGACAGGGGAACATTTGCCGCTCCAATGCGTAAATTCGTCCCATTCATCTTAGGGCTCTGCTTTTTGTCTTGACGCTGCTGCTTGCTTGAATTTCTTCGACAAAGTACATGATGTTGATGTGGCCCTGGTCGACCGTCATCATCGTTTTGCAAATTATTCCACACGTGCTAAAACTAGCATACGGGAAGGGGGGGGGCCACAGAGCGTCGTTAGGGCGGAGAGAAACCCACGGGTCGCCAACAAATATACAGTTCGAACGCATGCACATGCACACACGCAGCTGCAGCTGTGCGCGCACAAAATCTCGCTTGCGCGCCACAGGGTGGTGTGTTTGTGCGTGTGTGGCTCAAAACAACTTACACCACCACAAATGGGAGAAGACAAATGTACACATGCATTCCTACCCACAAAAACGCGCATTCCTCCACAATAGCGTTTGTGTAAAAGAAGTTAAAAGAAGTCCCCCACGGCACCTCTCTCCAGACCTCCACAGCTGGACGACTCTGCGCCCTGTCCCATAAAAAGAGTCTAAACGTACCCCACATCCCATACCACGTTGCATGCACCCGATGTGTATCATGCTTTGGAGGTATTTGCAAATGCATCCCCCCTAACCCCAGCGTTGAGACATTCTGACACATTCGGATATTGTGTCCATGATGTGGCCTCCAAATGAATCAGGGCGGCGTGTGGTGGCGTCACGTGGCGTGTTTGAAAAAACAATTGACCCCAGAGGCTGTGTGGTGAAGGCTGTGGTATGATGAAACAACACAAGAAGAGCCCCTCACCCATGTGTTGTGTGCACAACATCCAAACAATTAAAAACCCCGCACACGACACAACACCTGCCACTGCCCATCAGGGAGTCTGGGGATGTCTCTCCAAAAGTTAAATAAATTACAGGCTTGATGGCTGTTTTAGCGTGCCGCGCGTCTGTGTGCCTCTGCAGGTTGTGTGTGTGGCTCTTCAGTCAAACAAACGGGGGAGCCACCGGCTAAATAACTTAAATACGACAGGGACCCTGGGGGATCCATGTGGGCGCGAATGATGCATATGCTAATAAGTTTGAGGCCTCCGGCCCCATAGAGCCGTGTGGCTGTTTTTTCCTTCGGGGTGTGAACTATGGGAGACATGGCGCTCCATCTCCATCCTTCCATCATTTCACCCTTCCTCCCTCCTGCCTCCCTCCACCCTCCCTCCACAATCCCCCCTCCCTCCCTCCACAATCCCCCCGCCCTCCCCCGAACCCTCCCTCCAAAATACCTTTTCCCACCCTTCCTCCATCATCCCCCCCACTTCCCTCCATCATCCTCCCTTCCCCTCCCTACTGCCCACCCTTCTGCCCTCCTGTGCCTTCCCCTCTGCTGTCCCCTGCGCTCCCTTGCCCTTCCCTCCCTCCATCCTTTGCGTGTGTATGTGTGTGCCCCACCGTCCGTGTGCTCACGTACAAACGTATGTATGTATTATGGGTCAGTACGGAACATGTGGGAGTTGAACCCAAACCCACAAGAATGTGGGTGGCACCTCTGCCCTGTTCCAATTTCCCCCCCGCCCCGCCGCGTTTTCCCCCTTTCCCCCCTCGTTTTGCATTCCCCGGGCTGTGGCAATGATGATGTTCGACCATGCTTCTCTTGCAGGAGTGTCACCAGACCAGCACCGCACCTTCACCTGCACCCCCCGGCCCCTTGTCGTACAGGTATGTCCCTCCACCTGCACCGCCCAGCTACCCACCCCGCTACGACTGCTGTACAGCGGTTTACACATGCACACGCTTGGGCAGTCGATTGTGACACAGGTGGGTGCAAGCGGGTGGGTGGAGAGGGCGAATGTTACACCCGACCTCTCTAATGCCATCTCTCCTGTACTCCCCAACCCCGAACCCCCCACAACCACACAAACACAATCCGCAACACCCCCACTCGCATCCACACGCACTCGCAGCATATCCGCCAGGAGGTGGAGCTGCCCCCCGTCGGGTCGAAGCGCTTCTACGACTTCAACTTCCAGTCCGCGGACCCAGTGGTGGGTTTTAGGGTTTTATAATTTTAAGGGTTTGATGGTTTTACGGGCTTTAGGGGCGAGATCTTGGCGGGATATTGCCTTTTGCTGGCTACGATCTTTGGCGGTTGGCAGTTGGGGGTTTAGGTTTACCGCGCCCTCGCCTGCGGCGCCCCGCCCAGCGCGGCATCCTAGCCTGCGCCGCCTGGTGCAGGGTGGAGGGTGTGTACGTCTGCATGTGTGTAAGCGCATGCGTGTAAACGCGTGCGTGTGTGTGTGTGTTTGGATGGATGGACTGAGCCGCGAGCGGGGTGTTGGGGCTGAAGATGGCATGTATGTGCAAGGTATGTCTGTATGTGTTTGGATACCGTTTCCCCCTAGTCCCTGACCGAGCCTCTCCCCCTCCTCCTCCTACGGCGGCCCTAACAACCCGCAACCCTAAGCCCACCATCCCCCAACACTCAATCCCCCTCCTCGCCGCCCCTCACTCGCCCACCTGACACGTAGAGGGAGTCCGGCCCAAACACGGCATGGCAGCCCGCTGCGGCCAACTTGTCGCGGTCTTCAGCCTGGGGAGGGGGGAGGAGGGAGTGCGAGTGGGAACGGGAGTGGAGAGGGGGTAGACGTCGGAGATGGATACGGAATTTCCCACCACCATCACCACCACCACCACATCACCACCACCACCACCACCACATCACCACCACCACCACCACATCACCACCACCACCACCACATCACCACCACCACCACATCACCACCACCACCACCACATCACCACCACCACATCACCATGAAACCATCCTTGGCGCACAGCCACCGCCGCGGGTCGCTGTGTGGAGACACCGCGAGGGGGGGGCCCGGTGCACGTGAGCCCCACGGGGGACACGACGGCATTATGGCGGCCAACAGGGCCGGTGGTGGATGGCAACCACCCACCCACTCACATGGGCGAGGTGAGGTGAGATGAAGTGGGGTAAGGCCATTCGCGCAGAAGACACAGCCTCACAACCAGTTAATGTTTCCCACCCTCCTCTCCCCCCTCCTCCTCTTTCCCCCCCTCCACACACCCCCACGGACGCCGCACCGGGTTGCGAGGGTACACGTCGAAGTCCTCGTGCGCAGCAAACTGGGTGGGGTTGACGTAGATGGAGGCCACCACCACGTCGGCCTTCTCTCTGGGGTAGAGGGGGGGAGGAAGGGGGTAGAGGGGGAAGTGAGGGGAAAGACGAACCACACGCGATTGAAGGTGCTGCCAGGGCAAGATAGTAGCAAACGTAAAAACTGACCGAAAGGCGTCCGTGGCGACTGTGACGACTGTAACCTCGGGATGACGAAGTGACGTAGATGTTGGAACTCCTACCTACCTAAGCCGCCAGAAATAAAAGCGA